AGGCTAGCTAAAAGCTAAAATCTTAATGCAACAAAAGGCTAGCTAAACGATAAATGTATAGCTTATGTACGGTTTAACTTTTAGCTAGCCTTTTGTTACATTTAGCTTTTAGCTATTCTTTAGTCTTAACCTTTTTTACTTAAAGATGTCTCATTTGTTAATTTAAGGTTTTAATCCTTAAATTTAAATTAAATGAATTATCAGGTCTCTCTTGTGAATGAGTCCTCGAGGCTCAATGGGAGTTACTTGTCTAAATAAAGGTTGAATGAGTGAAAAAATCCTGGAAGATTTTTACTTTTTCCCCTCATAAATTAAAAACTTTAAACTATCAAAGAACATCATGTTTTTATTTGTATTTAATTATTGAAAATTAAATTATTTATTTTAATTTATGTATTATTGTTGGAGTGCTTTGGGTTTTGCCTTACAGACCAGCTCCTGTTCATGTTTTCCAGCTCGGCTCCAGTGGAGCGAAGTCTTTGTTTGAGTTTTTTCTGTACAGTTTCTTGACTGACCCACATGAAGAATCTCCTGAGAACCAGAACCTGAAGAAAGAATGTGAGAAATCCTTCAGGAAGTACCAGAGTCTTCTGGTCAAACAGGAGCAGCTTCTCCGAGGTGCAAACACCTTTACAAACACAAAAATCTACCGTAATTTCTGGACTATAAAGCGCACCCAAATATACGCCGGCACACACTAAACTAAAATATTAAAAAAATGTACATATATAAGCTGCAGTCAAAAAAAATAAAAAAATACAGTTGCGTACCAGGAAAAGCCACTGATTGCTATCTTCATCTTCCTCCTGTGCACTAAAGCCACAAAGTCGTCTTCTTTGGTGTCAGAACCGAACAGTCTCAGAAAAACGTCATCGCACACGTCTCACGTCCTCCGTCTCCGTTTCATTGGTCAGGTTTTTTTAACCTTAGTAGCCCCAATGAGCCACGAGGACCCACCCCCCAAGAGAAATGTGTATTGGACAACTACGTGAGCACCCGGGTGTGACGAAGCTAAAAGTTTTTGACAACAGGAAGCTCTTTAGCCAGTCCAAAAAAATATCCATAAATTGTCCGCAGCATTGTTTGAAGTGTGTGAAAAATGTAGCGGCGTATAGACCAGAAACTACGGTTCTGTTTACACTGCACTCCCTCTGTTTGTGAGGCTGCAGGACGTGCCGACACATCAGATGAAGTTTGCTGACACCGCTGGCGTCTTGTCGGGACCTTCATTTCTCACGTTGTGCATTAAAAGAACTCCAAAAACATTTTTATCTCCGTTTCTTTGCTCTGCAGTTGCTCTGTGTCTGCTGCTGAACCTGGCTGAAGACACTCGCACCGAGCTGAAGATGCGCAACAAGAACATCGTCCACATGCTGGTGAAGGTTCTGGAGCGGGAGGACGAGGAGCTGCTGCTGGTGGCCGTCTCCTTCCTCAAGAAGCTCTCCATCTTCCTGGAGAACAAGAACGACATGGTGAGCTCCAGCTTCCTCCTCCTCCCCCGTCAGGCACGCCCCTCTCTTCAGTTTTATGCTTTTTAGGATTATTTCAAACAAATCGTTTCCTCGGTTACCTTCAATAAGCTGGAGCATGTTTAGGTCCAAAATATTCTGGGTGATGAACGCAGGCGAGAACATCGAGGAGGTGAACGTGTTGTGGGTAAAGTTCTTCTTTAATTAGAACAATCACCTGATCAGGACGCTAACGAGCTGCTACACTTCAACCTCATTAGTCTTGGAGGAATTATCAGGATTTATTTGTTCTGTTAGGAAAATAATCCCAAGTTAATTTGGACAAATAACTGTTATCCTCGGCAGCGCCATCTGACACCGCTCTCATTAAGACCCGGGTTCTGAACCTGCTGTGATGTGTCCCGCAGCGACTTTCCCCCGATCCAGACCCACCTGGTTCCACTTGGCTCAGCCGGTCTTGATCAAAGCCAGACCAGGAGCTGGTTTTATCTCCTCCGGGGCATCAGAGTGGAGCAGCCCCTGGGAGGTTTTGGACCCACTCAGACACAAACGGGTCTGACTTCAGTACAGCACGTTGGTTTGCACCAAGAAGAAGAAGCTGAAGGAACATCACGTTATCGGGTCTTACATACTTTGGTTTGGTTCTGATCCGGCGCCGCCTGGTCCAGGTTCTCTCAGCTGTCGCTCACAGAAGGAGAACATCAGCAGTAATTGACTCGGGCTGCAGTTGATTAAGCAGCTCCACGTCTGGTTCCAGAAACGTGTGACTGGAGCTGGTTTCCAGTAGCAGCCAGTGGTTTTTAACTGGGAGCAGCTTTTAGCTGGTTGTTTAGAGTCCCGCCGGACCGACCGGTCCTCCTCGGCCCGTCTCACGGAGGGAGTCCGAAGACCGCCAGTGATGCAGTCAAAGAATGAGTCAGCATGTCAGAGTAATGAACAAACGTTTGGTCAGGCTAACGATGACTCAGCGTTTTTACACAGACAGCACTTAATAAAAACAAATGATTTCTGCACAAATTATTAAATCTGATGTTTGATTTGATTCAAAACACAAAACAAGTTCAAGTTATTTCAAGTTGGACTCTGTGAGACCAGGTTCTGGTGCCGGGCCGGTTCTTTAGCCTGTTAGTTTCCAGAGCTTCAGAGTGAGCACGGGACATTTTTACAGCTGCAGGGAGAACCCCCTTGGAGCGACTTTACCTCTCGTGATGCTGACTCAGGTCCAGTCTGACCCACTTTGTGTCTGCAGCCATGCAGGTTCTGCAGCAGCTGGTTCTGTGGAGGACAGATGTTGGTTCAAACACCTTCAGACTTCCTGCGCTCAGAGTTCAGCTCCTGCTCCGTCATGTGATGCATCATGATGTTCATCCTGCTGGAGGCTCCACAGGAGGTCCTTTAAACCCCGACTGGACCTGGAGACGTGGTAGAACCTGGAAGAACTTTGGGCAGCACAGTTCCTGCTTCAGGAGAATAGAATAGAATGGTTCTGTTCTATTCTATAGAATAGAGTAGACCTTTATTGTCATCACATCTGATTAAAATTTGCTTTGCTTCCCAGAGCAACAGTAAAACCAGTGAAATAAAACATCTATTGATCTGTCTGTCTGTCTGTCTATCTGTCTGTCTGTCTGTCTATCTGTCTGTCTGTGTCTGTCTGTATCTGTCTGTCTGTCTATCTGTCTGTCTGTCTGTCTGTCTGTCTGTCTGTCTGTGTCTGTCTGTCTGTATCTGTCTGTCTGTGTCTGTCTGTATCTGTCTGTCTGTCTGTCTGTCTGTCTCTACCTCCATATATATGTATATGTGTGTGTAAGGTAATAAATTTGAAACACTCCAGATGTGCAACACAAGCAGGCTGATATCACACTCGTTGTCTCTTATTTCACTGATTCAGTTCTTCTTACAGTTTTTGTAAAGTTCAGGAACGGCTGACGGATAAAAACTCGTTTTAAATGTTTGTTCTTGATTGATCTGGACCTTCTCCGTGATGGTAACAGGTCAAACATGTCCAGGGTCACACGTGTCCTTTAACATGTTGTGGCCTTTTCCTCTGCAGCTGGAACTGTGTAGATCTTGTAGCTGTGTTGATAACTCTCTGGAGCTCTTTCCTCTGATCCACCGTGCAGCTAACACCCCCCCCAGTGATGCAGCGTGTTAAGATGCTCTCTGTGGAGCATCGGTAGAACGACACCAGCAGTCTCTGGTGGAATTCCTCCTGAGAACTCCCAGAAACGGTACTCTCTCCACACCGTCTCCGTTTATAATCGGGGTGGCACCGCCATTTTGTTTTTCCTGGAGTGGACGATCAGCTGGTTCAGCTCGTAGTCTTTGAGGTGTTGAGGAGCAGACTGCTCCCCCTCGTCCCTGCAGGCGGATCAACCGCAGGATGGAACTTTGTGCACCTGGTTTTTATTGAGTGATTTAAATGAATCTTGGTAGTTGAGCTCGTTCAAACACGATCACTATGTAACGAATAAACCGCATTTTGGTGTTTGCAACATCTGCAGGGTGTGGGTTAGAGTTCTAGTTATTGTTGGTAATTTATTATCCAGTCCTAACTGATCAGTTATTATTGATCGCTGCAGTAGTTGCTCCTGTCTGCTCCTGTCTGCTCCTCTGCTCCTCTATGCTCCTCTTTGCTTCTCTGCTCCTGTCTGCTCCTCTCTGCTTCTCTGCTCCTGTCTGCTCCTCTCTGCTTCTCTGCTCCTCTCT